CTTTAGCCCGGCGATCGCCGACCAGGCCAGTCCGGTCCTGGTTGAAGCTATTGCAATGGTATTTTGGGACGAAACGTGTTCCCCCTACAAATAAACTTGTAGGAACGACAGTGGTTGAGTCTAATGACGTCACCTGCCTGTCGTAATAGATATTTTGATTGATCAAAATTCTTTCCCCGATTCTACTGTTTTGTATCATTTCTCTCGTTCAGTTAGGCTACTCTGATATTAATAATATCGCGGAACTTCTCTATTATCCTTTCTATATGTTGTAAATCCTTGTCTTAGACAATGTCCATGTAGTTTTTTTGGAGCATATCCATCCCTGTTTCGACGTCACGTTTTTTCATTTGACTCTGTACTCAGAAATACATTCATGTTACAATTATGTTCGTCCAGTGTGAATATTTTACTCTCTAACAACAATTATCATAAATTATAATTGACATTCACGAATAGAACTTCTTCGTGTTTGGAATCTTGTACGTAAAAAATGCCCTGATTTGCATAATTGATTGTACCTAACAGCTGTGAACACCGGTTTGTTGAACTTATCAGCATTAAAAACATAAATATTGATTAGAAAAGATACGGCTTGAAGTGGTCTACGTTCTTTCCAAAATAATAAATACAAAACAATGTGAGCGCACAGAACTTAAAGTTTAAGTTCTGTGTGTGAGGGTAATATTCACAAAACTATATAGTTTGTGGGGATATTGCAGATCTGCTCATTTTTACGAAAAGTGTCACAGAATTGAGATTCAGAGTAACAAAACTGATTGTTATCCACAGTTTTCTTTTTTCAAATATTCAGAATATCTGTGTACGAAGAATGTGAACTGTAAAAAAAGTTTAACACTTCTGCTATACTTTTTCATTCATATATTTTCAATTTTATATCAGNAGTTTCAGAAACACAAGAATCAAGTATGAACTCAAGCCATCTGGCGTTTTTATTAAGCATATTTGCTACCACGCAAGCCTTGGACAATGGTCTTGCTCTAACACCTCCTATGGGATGGATGCACTGGCAGAGATTCAGATGTTTGATCGACTGTGATATTTACCCAGATGAGTGTGTCAGGTAAGTGGTTTGAGAGCTTTTTTAATAACTTATTCAGATAATCACGAGTTACGTATGTTCACGTGGTTATCTCAATCGTCGCAAAACACCGTCCTTTGATGGGTATCTTCAATCTTGGGAACAGGAAAAAGTTTCAGGGGGTCAAATCTGGTGAATACGGTAGCTGAGGCATGATTACAGTATTGCTTTTGGCCAAAAAATCACGAACTAGCAATGACGAGTAAGCAGGTGCATTATCGTGATGCAAAAGACATTGATTGTTTTTCCACAATACCGGACGATTTCTTAGTATTGCTTCTTGCAAGCGGCGCATAACATCAAGACAATAAATACTCTTTTTTGACCGTACGACCATAGTAAAAAAAATCAACCAGTGAGTCCACTCCCACTACTTTCATTCATAAATTCACAAAGTTCTCGGTGACCTCGAAACGCAGTGTGGAGTTAATTTCGTTCTTTTACCATAGGCATGCGCTCATATAAAAACGAAATTAAAGGTTATAGAATATTTTGTGGTAAATTACTTATAACCAAGTACAGAAACTAAAAACAATAATAACAACAGCGAATAAATTAAACACAATAGCAATTTCCGACCGTTTATTATAACTAATCCGATGCCCATGGAACCGTTAAATCCTTTGATACTACAGCACTGAACGCGTTGGATGAGAATCTCATCCTAAGAGCGGTTGAAGGTCCCTGGCAACTCGGGCGGATCACGTGGTAAGAAGCTACTGGTTGTATTATTATACTGTGGTACGACCATGTGGCGAAGACTTCTGTGCCACGATAATTGAAGAAAACAGTGCGCAAAACCTTGACATTTGATCGCCATCGACGTCAATCAACAAGTGTTGAGCGATGCTCATGCAACGGTTATTTTTTGCCAAAATTCAGCAATTTCGAAACAAACTTCGCTGTCACATCACAGTAAAAATCAACCAGTAACTCAGCTCCCACTACTTTCATTTATAAAGTTCTCGGTGACCTTGAAACGAAGTGCGTAGCCAATTTCGCCCTTTTACCGTAGTCGTGCGCTCATATAAAAACAAAATTTAAGGGTATTATAGAAGATTTTCTGGTAAGTTACTTATTTCGTACAGCGATTTCACTGGTCCTTCAAGAGACTAACTCTTGAAACATATGTGAACCGTCGATTAATGTTATATCCTTAACTAGGATGGACTTTCAATAAAACAACTATTATAGTTTTCACTTTATTCCCTTGATAACTGACTCAACAAAAAGAGGCCCGTCAAAGTCATCGCCACAACGTGTCAACGAGTTTGTGGTTTATTTAAATTTAATAGTATTTATTCTACCTTTGGGTGCATTTTGACTTAGGCGTAATTGTAAATTGAGAAAATCAGCGATCTCTCCTGATAGGCAAGCCTCAATAATCAGTTCTGCAGGTGACCTAAAGATATTAAATTAGGCACATCTGCAAGTTTCCTTCTCAACTCTTCATTTTCTTTGTATTTTTTCTCAGCTTTTCCTTCATAGGTGTATCTATGGCTTGATAAAATCGCAGATGTCTGAACATAAGTCGTACTAAACTTGGGGGACGAGGTTGGGGTAAAAGATAGCTGTATCTAATAGCGGTACGTCGTCTTTCTCAAAGGTTCTTGGCAATGTTATAGTGATTCAGCGGTTTTCTATAACAATTTTCTTCACTTTCTCCACATTTTCATCGGTTGTTGATGCGCAGGGGCATCCAGGGCGACCGTCGTCATTCACATCGCTTCTCGACCTTCTGTGAAAAGCCCATAAAAGTGGTAAAAATGAGAGAAATTATGAAACTTCCACTTTGTGCATTTAGCCCCCTACGACTCTGAAGAATGATTCTCCACAGCCCCCTATGACTGTATGTAATATAATGTGTTAAAACAGTTGTCACTGTTAGGCAACTTGTAATACATATGAGATACTACAAGTTGGCAACACGGGACAATCGTGGTTAACGCGGGTTATGTTGACAGGGCATGACTACAAACATGTGCTCATGATCACAATATCTAATGTTATATGTTATACAATAAACTACCAACGTTGAACGCTAGTTGTGTTATTTATAATCTTTTGGCCAGATTATACATGGTGTCAGGTGTGGGGTATATTCAATTACTATTTTGATTCATGCTTTCCTAAAATAACAGTTAAAGAAAAAAACAATCGAAATAAACATATTCAACAGTCAAATCCACACTTAGTTCAACTCAAAGAAGATATGAAAATATTAAACACTATATTGAATTCCGGTAGTACCTACTAATACTAATGAAACCGCTGCGTATAGAATGATTCTCAAGGAAAAGAAAATGGAGTATGAACATGAACTTTCTCAGCATAATTAAAAATTTAAATGAATATTGTGTTGTAAATCATCCCCTGAAAAAAATTAAGGCCGGCCGCCGCTGGTCGTCGTATATCGATTGTGACTTGGCCAAGATCGCGCTCAACTCGACTTACGCTTCGCGATTGTTCTACATACCGCGTCGCTTCGATAGACTTCTAACGACCTCCCTATCAGCTTCGAGAGACTTCGATTACCATATATAAACACTACCCACACGCATATCGATGAAGTCTAGTTGACGACAGTGCGGTACGAAGTGATCTAATAAGGCGATAGACATTTGAGTATTAGTCTGAAGTCTCAGTCGAAGTATTTAGTAGCATTGTCAGTGTAGCAGTGAAATAAAGTTGGGTTTAAATTTTTCATAGCAATGATCATCTCACTAATTGATAAAATAATTTGGGCAATGGCCTCAGGGTATGCTTAGGGGCGGAACAATATTGCAAAGAAGGTATTCTTTGAAAGATAGTTTTTGTGGAAAGTCATGTTTTTCGCTGCTTATGAATTTTTAACCATTCAAAAGCTGAAAAATAAACCAAGCAAGAGAGAATCTGCTGAATACTTTCTCTGAGTATCCGTGGTCTGAGTGGTTGGGAGCCGACACAACTTTCATGGATTCGTTATAGAGAGGTTGTTACTTTGCCAAAGATGTTTACACAGTATGCTATCGCTTATACAGAATTCTGGTTTCTTCTGAGAACTCTTTTCCACCATCTCCATCAAATGTTTTTCTTAGTAATCCATTCAGAAGATATTCTAAATTGAAATGTACCTGTACGAACCTCCTGTACCACAACGACATTCCCAGAAATCGTCGTAGTTGTTTCACATCACAGATGGCCATGACTATTTTTGAGTCGGTTCTTATACCCTCTTCCTGTGTTTTTTGTCTTTTTCAGACAACGGAACACTTCTTTCAGATACTCTAGATATTGTTTGAACGTTTTGCTGACTGACAATGGCATCCAGGTACGCTTTAGCATATTTCATAGACCTACTAATCACTCTGTCAATGAGTCTCTGGAATTCAGATAGCGCTGAATGCAAACCAAATGGTAGCTCTTGAAAGGGAAACAATCTCCAGAGGAAAATACTTGTTTTTTGATCTTCCACTAAACCCCGCTCTGTATTTGTGACGTTTGGAGGTCGATAGACGTAACTTTGAATCCAATAATTTTATGTGATATTTGTTTATTGACAAAGAGTATTTGTTTTCCAGCATATTTTCGTAAACACTATCCTAACGTGACTCCAAAACCTAAGACAACAACTACAAGCAAACCAATAACCACCACAACTGAACAATTGAGCTCTGAAAGTGAAGGACTGGTTACATCTACAACTGAGGAAACCGAAACAACCACAACTGAACTATACGAAGAAACCACAACTGAACAATATGAAGAAACCACTATGGATCAATGTGTTGTAAATGAAGACTGGCAGATAACAATATCGAATAAATATTCAGATTTAATTCGAAGCAAAGGTAACTCTTATATGTCCGAAGTAACGAGGGCCAGAGACATAGTCGATTAGATTATGAAAAAAATTATGCAATTTAGTTTCGCAGATATTCGAATAGAACCGAAATTTACCAATTAATTTTTTTTTACATTATTTAAGCAGATATCGAACAAATCAACCATGCGCATTGCCACTTTCTTACAGATTTCCGATCCCAGTTCTCTTTTCAGAAAAATCACCAATTTAAATTTTTTAGGAAGAAAAATAAGAATCGCTATATATAAGTTAAATTTTTTGCACAACTTCAAAGGATATATCCCACATATTTGGAATTTCATAAATTTTGAAACATCATTCAAATGAGCTCTAAAGAAGACAACTTTTTTCTAATTCAATCGACTTTGTATTTCTTACAGTTTCCAATTTTCACATAGTGTAATTTTTCATTTCTCCTTGAAATTCGTAACTTTCGTATCAGATCAAAATTGAAAATGAGCCTTCGGAGGGATAAACAGTTCTCTTTTATAAATATAAGGAAATAAAAAACATAAACCAATAAGGAATAAACCATATCGTATAAGGATTTCATTTGGAGTGCATGTATTTTTCTCAGTTGGCTCCTCTGTTTAGTTGTCATCAATGCCAATTGGCATCAATGTTAGTTGTCATCAATGTCAGTTGTCATCAGTGTCAGTTGTCATCATGAATCCATTAAATATTAAGGATATCAATCAACACCAATGACAAATGCATAGACTAGGGAACATAGAAATCCTTCTTCGATATGGACCCTTATTTCCTTTATTGATATGAAATCATTTGAGTTTATCTACGGTTCATCTATCAGAAATCACAGAAGATTTAGGCTCATGACAATGTTTCAGTTGCAGAAAACTGTATTCTTCGCCCTACACCGAGGAAATGCGCGGATGGTTCGGAAAAATGGTTCTTCAATATCTTTAATTTCCGATGGATTTTGCCGAGTAACGAGGCATTTCTATACTTATAAATGCGAAAGTCACTCACTTAACACTCACCCATTCATCTCTGTTTCTCCGTGCTGGTGAGGCGTAGGATGATAAAATTTGGTATATGTATAGGTGCTTCTTAGGTCTTAGATGAGCACTAAGAAAGGATTTTTAAATATTCCAACTGAGGAGCCCACCTGGAGGTAAAAGGGGTGCGTTCACATATGAAAAGTACCTTTTCATCACTGTTTCCCTGTACCGATAAATTTTCGGAGGCTTAAATTTTGTATGTAGGTACATTTTGCAATGAGAAAGGGTTTTTAAATATTCAAACTGAAGCGCCAGCCGCGAGGGAAAAAGGTGAGTTCATAAAATAAAGTTACCTTTTCATCACTGTTTCTCCGTACCGGTATATTTCCGGAGGCTTAAATTTTGTATATAGGTTCGCTTTATATTGTAAATGTGTAATAATGTGGTGTACAGAGACTTCCTCTTCATCATTGTGAATTGAATTCGATGGCTAGTATGGGCATATGTGAAGGAGAAAAATGTGTTCAAGGAAGAAAGATAATGTTGGCCCAGTTAACTTTGTTGAGACATAATAACTCGTAAATAGAAAATGAGTAGGAAATAAAAAAATTACACGAAGCTTTCTGTAAGGGTTTTGCCTACAAAATGAATTTCCAATACTATACTGCTTTTGAAAATGAACTGACGTAATACATCAAAATTTTAATTGTAGTATGAGATCTTCCAATCTTCTAAGCGCTAATACTTCAATGCGATGTTTTGTTTCAGATGCTTGTAAGCTTCCTATTTCTCTCGGGTCTTGCACCAACTACACTTTACAATGGTTTTACTCCCAGAGAATGAACAAGTGCATCCAATACGAATATGGAGGGTGTTATGGCAATGATAATAGATTTGATACAAACGAGGAATGCTCGAAATGCATACTTTAGTTAGAAATACCATTCAACGACGTCTCATCAATCATAATGTAAAAATTACTATTTTTTCGAAATAAAAACTGAACTAAAACCAATTATTATTCTTCTTTTTCTTGCAGTAATTGACCGAGATGTTGGATCAGATGAGACAAATGACAAATTAGCTTTATTTTTTTAGAAACCTTAACCTCGAGAAAATTGACCTAGAAAAAGTTATCTCTTGAAGTTATTTGGGAAATTTTTGAAACTTTTTCAGGAACAATTCACATTCAATTGATTTTATATCGAGTTGTAATCAATACCCGGTAAACTGATTTTCAGGCCCGCGTAGAACAGTACGTGTTATTGGAAAATTAAAATGTACTGGAATAATGTCAAACCAGTGTAACCAAAATATATTTTCGGAAATGTCTCGACAATTTGATCAGAAATCTTCAGATTCCTCTAAATCCATAGATAGAGTTACAAAATGAAATTTCGTCTCACTCAAGTTGTGGAGATTGATTAAAAATTATCAGTACTTTCAATTATATTTGGATACTCATACAGACATTTTATAGGCATTCGTCTTTTGTTACAGAAAATTAGGGAATTACTTTGTATGAACATCACATAACTTATAAACTTATATCTGATGACATAAGAATGTGAGATCTGTGATAAACATTCAGTTTCAGACTGGCACAAAACAGCTAAACTGTCACTTTCCAAAATAATAAATACAAAACAATGTGAGCGCACAGAACTTAAAGTTTAAGTTCTGTGTGTGAGGGTAATATTCACAAAACTATATAGTTTGTGGGGATATTGCAGATCTGCTCATTTTTACGAAAAGTGTCACAGAATTGAGATTCAGAGTAACAAAACTGATTGTTATCCACAGTTTTCTTTTTTCAAATATTCAGAATATCTGTGTACGAAGAATGTGAACTGTAAAAAAGTTTAACACTTCTGCTATACTTTTTCATTCATATATTTTCAATTTTATATCAGTTTAGGATTTTCAGATATAGATATGCTCCATTGTATAAAATAGAGCATAGGCAGTCAATCAGCACTAACACAAAATGCGATACTTTATGAAAACAGAAAGCTTTACAGAAAAAAAAATTGCAATGAAGTTCTGCTATGATATATTTTATATATCTTATTATTCATACAATGATTCATAGACATGCATCTTAATATTCCGTGTTAGGAATCACACGTTAAAAGGTAAGACCTCGTTAGTCCTTAGCTCGCACAAGTTTCTCAACTTCTGAGAGTTGTCTTTCGTATGGGGGCGATAGCTGAATAACGGAAAAACAGATTTTAAACAGAAACAGATATGTATGATATTTGTCATATTGTAGGTATGCAACGTGCTTGGAGTTCTTAATTTCATTTTTTCTTACTTTGTCAATGGGAACTTTGAACATAATGTTTTGGGCAAAACTGCATGCTTCCAGTTTTTTCATTTTGTTTTTTTTTGAACTTCCATTCAATATTTTGGTAAATATAAATAAAACGACTACGGAAAGAATATATATTAACCACGCGCAAACAAATGATAATAAGTTCCACTGAACTTCTCAATATTTATCATAACTTTACCATATCAGCGACTACATAATTATTGCATAAGTTTTTTCAATATTTCATTCCGTCAACAATTAAATATATTATCACCCTTGAGCAAAACATTTACGATAACCAAATGTTTGACAAACTTCATTACGATAATATTAGAACATTTACAGTTGATTAGTCAGTGGTAACGATTTCTTTGACCTTAAAATTTACAACTTGTTCCCCAGCACTATTTTGAAACACAAGTTGTATAGTTTAAATACAGCTTGCTCTAATCCACAAAGGCGCTCCTATATCACATAGGGAGAACGGCTCCAAAATTTTCGACAATTTTGGAATAAGATAAATCGAAATAAATATTTGGTAACTACTTGTTCAATGAAGAGGTTGATATTTATATGCAACGGCCATACCACGTTGAAAAGTGCCAGTTCTCGTCCGATCACTGAAGCCAAGCAACGTCGGGCGCGGTTAGTACTTGGATGGGTGACCGCTTGGGAACACCGCGTGTCGTTGTTTTATAGGTTCGCTTTATATTGTAAATGTGTAATAATGAAGGATTCGTAAATATTTCATTTTTCCATCACTGTTCTGGTTGCGCAAAAGCAAAGAAGCACAGACCTCGAAAGTGTCAATTTCTCTTGATCGTTCTCAAATTGTGGGGCACCCACTTTTCGAGCTCTTCGACCTTTCCACTACGTTTCACACCACCATAAACCACATGGGAGTTGACGCCCAGTTTTTCCGTCATTCCACGCACCGTTTGTAATGGGTCAGTCCCCACAAAGGTTCTCAAATCCTCGTCCTGAATTTACGCAGGGGCTTCGGGGCTCATCTTCAAGGTTAATCTCCAAAACAAAATTTCGCAAGCAATGCGTTCATTAACACTATTATTACCAAATACCTGGTTAATGTTTCAGGCCGTTTCGGCAGCGCTATGGTTCAATTTGAAATCGCATAGCAATTAAAACTAAACCTTTTATGTCGGTGGTATATACCACGACACAGTTCAAAAAACATGACACTAAAACGGACAAAAACTTTTGAAACAAAATCTAATAGAAAATATAAGTATGAAAGAATTAAAGATCCGTTAAATCTTCCTTAGTCATGGTGGAAGAGCAATTTCTGCCTTGATTTATCATGCGCAGACGTTGAATTCTGCCATTTGTTAGGTTAGATTAGTATCTCTTGTACCTACTTTTTGGAGCATATCCATCCCTGTTTCGATGTCACGTTTTTTCATTTGACTCTGTACTCAGAAATACATTCATGTTACAATTATGTTCGTCCAGTGTGAATGTTTTACTCTCTAACAACAATTATAAAGTATAATTGACATTCACGAATAGAACTTCTTCGTGTTTGGAATCTTGTACGTAAAAAATGCCCTGATTTGCATAATTGATTGTACCTAACAGCTGTGAACACCGGTTTGTTGAACTTATCAGCATTAAAAACATAAATATTGATTAGAGAAGATACGGCTTGAAGTGGTCTACGTTTATATTTAGTCGCGCTTTGATTGTTTGTTTGAAGGTTTAGTCACAGTATGGCTTTTATTGTGGTTTAGTGCTTATGTTTGCTGTTCAGAATAATTATTTGTATAGCAGATTCAGTGATTGATATTACCAGGTTGGCAAAAATACGGTTGAAAAGAATAATCGCGTACGATTTTTCACACATTCGTAGCAAGGTAATAATGCACAAATACATTGTTCGCTTTACATCACTGTATAGTGTTCCACAGGGGTCCATTTCGGTACCCTTAAATTATGATTACGTTGTTATTTCTGGTTGGATCAGAAAATCAGCGAATAGAATCAAATAATCATTGTATACAACTACATTCAACGAAAAATTTTAACGGACGATTTGACAGGTATCGCAGATAGCAGTTGAGTCATTATTTTTCCACTTATTCATTATGAGATTTTTGTCGAAGAAAAAAGAGTGGGTGGGTAAAGTTCATTATGTTTCATAACTCTAGTCCTGAATGATCTTTACAAAGCACTCGAATCGACATTTGTTTGTATCTATTTTCCAGTATAAATAGGTATAATTTTATCCTTTGGAGAAGAAGTGTTTTGGCTTTCTACTTCTCCATCGCGGACTTTTTTGTAGACCTTTTTAGGGTGTTCTGTAGTACATTTTTTGATCTATCTCGTAGGGTTCGGACAGTTTTTGCAATGTAAGCGCAAAAAATGTGTTTATTTACGACTTCACATTAGAAACCTCTAAAATTATCAGTGTTTATCTACGATATTATGCATGTTATATACATATGAACCTTCCTCTTGAATCACTCTATCTAATAAAAGAACCCGCATCAAAATCCGTTGCGTAGTTTCAAAGATCTAAGCATACATAAGGACAGACATCGGGAAGCAACTTTGTTTTATATTATGTAGTGATGAATGAGGTAAAATTTCACTTACATGGAATACTGTCATCCGATGCTTGAAACAGCCATTTTTAACACTTCAATTGCTTCGAATAAACCTTTTTCATCGCTACATATTCTTTAAAAAAATATAAGCGCATATACAGAGTGACTGTGTGTTTCAAAATACGTTTTTGAAATAGTAATAACGTCTAACAGAAAGTCAATAAATCGTTCATGATAGGAACCAGAAACGAAATTTCCTTAGACCATGCAATGTTTCGGAATAAGACACTTGCTTGTTCAGTACTAATATGGTTAATATTACAAGATGAAGCACAAAATTCATCCATGAAAAGACGACTTTACGTCACAAATGAATTAAATGTACTATGTCATCGATAACGCAATGACATTCATTCGCTTATTTGTTTCAATGAGGATACACTATAAAAACACACTTTTGTCTATTTTCCACGATAGTTCTATATTTGTTACTAGTTTCGGTCATTACACCATTATCAAAACTATTGGACCAATCCCAGCCATAGAAATCTTGTTTAAATTGAAAGGGGTATATTTTAGGAGAATTTTTGAGAAAGAAATGTTTTGGCTTTCTACCTCTCCATTTTTCATTCAAAAAATATGAGAATCCACAACTTCAGAGTTTCAGAAACACAAGAATCAAGTATGAACTCAAGCCATCTGGCGTTTTTATTAAGCATATTTGCTACCACGCAAGCCTTGGACAATGGTCTTGCTCTAACACCTCCTATGGGATGGATGCACTGGCAGAGATTCAGATGTTTGATCGACTGTGATATTTACCCAGATGAGTGTGTCAGGTAAGTGGTAAGAGAACTTTTTTAATAACTTATTCAGATAACCACGAGTTACGTATGTTCACGTGGTTATCTCAATTGTCGCAAAACACCGTCCTTTGATGGGTATCTTCAATCTTGGGAACAGGAAAAAGTCTCAGGGTCAAATCTGGTAAATATGGTAGCTGAGGCATGATTACAGTATTGCTTTTGGCCAAAAAATCACGAACTATCAATGACGAGTAAGCAGGTGCATTATCGTGATGCAAAAGACATGGGTTGTTTTTCCACAATACCGGACGTTTTCTTCGTATTGCTTCTCTCAAGCGGCACATAACGTCAAGACAATAAATACTCTTTTTTTGACCGTACGAACATAGTAAAAATCAACCAATAAGTCCACTCCCACTACTTTCATTCATAAATTCACAAAGTTCTCGGTGACCTCGAAACGGAGTGTGGAGTCAATTTCGTTTTTTTACCATAGGCATGCGCACATATAAAAACGAAATTTAAGGTTATAGATAGATAGATAAAATCTATTTGTTGAGGATAAAAATACAATACTCCTGAGGGCATAGAACATGTCAGTATAAATATAAACATATATCACAATAATATTAGGTTAAAAGAAGAAGGAAAGATGTACAGTACATAAACTGCACAAAAATATATGCATACATGTAAAAATATTAGTACATGTAGAAATAGGCTATTACAGGTCAATTCTGACTTATTTCTTGTAGAGTACATATGTGTCTTTTTAGAGTTATCAAAAAGTTTTGTGTTTTCCTTAACAAATAGTATAGTATCAAGAATGTACTGGCTGTATAAGGTTAGTATTTTATTTTTTATAAATAAGGGTTTACCACTATCAGTTTGTTTATGGTTAAATATAATTCTAAGGCATCGCTTTTACATCTTAAATATCTTGGCGACATCTGTCGAAGCACCCCAGAATATCAAACCGTACTAGATCCTTGAGTGTGCGTAGTAGACACACCTAGCAGCGTTTATATCTATTGATCTTGTTAGCACTCTTAGAGCATATTTATAATATTTTGTGGTAAATTACTTATAAGCAAGTACAGAAACTAAAAACAATAATAACAACACCGAATAAATTGAACACAATATCAATTTCCGACCGTTTATTATAACTAATCCGATGCCCGTGGAACCGTCAAATTCTTTGATACTACAGCACTGAACGCGTTGGATGAGAATCTCATCCTAAGACGGTTGAAGGTCCCTGGCAACTCGGGCGGACACTACAAATGTATTCACTGCAATGTTATATTTAAAAAAAATACCCATGATTCGTTACCAGTTATTTTAAGCAAATCTGGATCGCCATCGACGCCAATCAACAAATCTTGAGCGATGCTCATGCGACGGTTATTTTTTTCCAAAATTCATCAATTTTGAAACAAACTTCGCTGTCACACCACAGTAAAAATCAACCAGTAAGTCAGCTCCCACTACTTTCATTTATAAAGTTCTCGGTGACCTTGAAACGAAGTGCGGAGCCGATTTCGCCCTTTTACCGTAGTCGTGCGCTCATATGAAAACGAAATTTAAGGGTATTATAGAAGATTTTGTGGTGAGTTACTTATTTCGTACGGCGGTTTCACCGGCCCTTCAAGAGACTAACTCTTGAAACATATGTGAACCGTCAATTAATGTTATATCTGATCCAATCAGATTTCCCAGCGGATTGAAGAACCTGTCAGACTACGTAAGCAAAGTTTCTACCTCAACTTGAAACATTTTAAATCAGGTGCACGGCAAACGTCTACGTTGGCACCGACATATTCCTTCATTTGGTTTACCGTGTTATAGGTACACGGTAAGGGGTTGAAATTTGGAATTTACGGAGACTATGGAACCCTTACGTGTGGTGGTTACCCAGGCAGTAAAGATTACTTGGAAATCGATGCGAATACTTTTGCCGAATGGGGCGTGGATTACTTGAAATTGGATGGCTGTTATTCGGATTATCATACGATAGAAGGAGGTAAGTGCATATTTTGCATAAGAGGGCTAACTTGATAGTATTATAAACGGAATATCTTTTCAGGTTACATCAAAATGGGCAAATATTTGAACGCGACCGGTCGTCCAATAGTTTACTCTTGCAGTTGGCCAGCCTATCAAGAACCTGAAGGGCTGAAAGTGAGGAATTCCTGCTGTATTATATTATGTTGTTACAAAAGTTTTGTCCGTTCCTATGAGTCTGCTTTAAACTGTAATCTCTCAGTGACTCCTCATTCAATTTGATCGGAATAAGCGTCATTTGAATCACTGCAGTTTTGCCAACGTGACACAGGTCGATTAATTTCGTCATTATGGAAATGGAGCGCTCGAGATTCGATGAAATCGACTATGGCCGTTTTTGTCTGGTTCTGATTGGCAAACATTCTACCGGTGAGAAAGTTATCGAAGTGTTTGGGGAGAATGATATGGGTGAGACAGACCACCATACGGACAAAACTTTTGAAACAACCAGTAAAAATTTTGAATATTAACGATGAGTGTCTTCATACTTTATTCAATGTTTCAGTCGAATTATTCGTTGTTGTCGGAGGTATGCAACCTTTGGAGAAACTGGGACGACATTGAAGATTCCTGGTATAACGTTACCGAAATTTTGCAATGGTTCGCTGATAACCAGGACAGGATTTCGCAGTTTTCTGGCCCGGGGCACTGGAACGACCCAGATATGGTAATATTACACTTTAACTCAGAATTTTTAAAAAATATTCGGAGTGAGGAATCGCACGCATATTTGACAAAGTGTTATCATCGCTCTGATTCCAGCTGATCATTGGAAATTACGGTCTGAGCTTCGAACAAAGCAAGGCCCAAATGGCCATTTGGGCCGTAATGGCTGCTCCTCTCATTATGTCTGTTGATTTACGCACAATCGATCAGAAAGCAAAAGATATTCTCCTCAACAAAGATGTGATAGCCGTCAATCAGGATCCTTTAGGGATCATGGGTCGACTTGTTTTAACCGTAAGTACATCACTATTCATCTGAGTGCTCTTCAAAAGATGAAATAGAAAAGTTTAAAATTCAGTAATCATATTTTTTTGGAGAAAACTCGTACAGGAATTATTGATAATTAACAGTTGGGCTGGAAAGTTAATAGGCTAACATATAATTTTTTTTATTGATTTTATTATTCCATTCAGTTCGACTTCAGTTTCTTCATCGGCGCTAAATTCCTTTCCAGTGATTATTCTCTTGATGTTTGAGAACAAAAAAAAGTCATTGGGGACCAGATCTGGGGAATATGGTGGATACGGAGACAATTCGAAGCCCAATTCATGCAATTTTGCGATTGTTTTCATTTATTTGTGATTCGATGCATTGTCTTTATGAAAGAGTACTCTCTTTTTCTCTCAAAATGGAGACTTTTTTTTCGAGGGTCTTTTTTGCAAGGAAGAACTGAAAGGATAGTTGTACATAATACAATTAGTGATTTCAGTCAGGTGTTCCCCAAAGTTACATGCTAAGACCTTTGTTATTTTTCGTGTATACGAATGATTTGAATCATCATTTCCACTGAAAATTCATTGGGGCTCACAATAGGTCAACTTTATCTGAACAAATATAAACATGACCAATTTCAATATCATGTCCATTCGAATTTCATATTTTTATTTTCAGAAAGAAAGGATCGATATTTGGACCAAGCCGGTGCTTCCAAAAATAGACGACAGTTATTCGTATGCAATTGGATTTCTAAGTCACAGAGTCGATGGGTACCCTCGCAGAATTAATTTCACGTTGTCCGAATTGGGTATTAATAGTTCTAAACAATATACTCTGAAGGTAAGATCATGGAGAGTTCCATCTATTATATATCTACAGTACATTAAGTTAAAAAAACGTCAGAATATAGACTCGCATAGATTTTGATTTGATCGAGAAACTACCCAAATAATAAAAGTGTCGTCGATTCTATTGTTTGTTAATTTAGTTTTGAATGTCATTTCGTCATATCCGTTTTCTTATTTTTTTTTAGGATCTTTTCGAACCAGAAAATGAACAGAAGATTGTAACAACTAAGAAACTTGTTTTTATAAGAGTTAAGCCTACAGGTAAAAATATGTCGTTACTTATAAAAATCACTCTTCTGATCTACTCATGACTTGCCTTACAGGTGGTGTACTACTTTTAGCTACTCCAGAAGATAATTCTATCAAGAACCAGAAAAGATGATTTTTGAAAAAACTGACTATTGATCGATTTAGGAAATAAATAATTACATTGTTTGGTGTTTTTTTACAAATACTGTTCATTTTCATTCAACGATAGTGTTAGTTGTATTAAAGTAAAATGAGATGTCTCTTTACATTTTCGTAGTTTTCATTCAGTCAACTTGTTTATAGTGATTTGTACCTATTGAACTCGGAACTCAAGGACTCAACATTAAAGTTATTCTAAGAATATTGTGCTCAAAAATACCTTATAAATATATGTAATATATACAAAATAGATAACAATTGTTGATTTGTTACAATTGAAAAACTAACGACATGTGCATGAATGTTTTTATTAAATGTATGATTTGATGTTAATAGTGGGCTAGGAAATCGAAAACTAGATACTTCATTCAGGTGGTGCAGATAATAGGTGCCATTCCATATATTTTGTTGATTTTCATAACAATTCAGCATGACATGTTGAAAAATAAGACTTCGCTAATTATCAATTGGACAAGTATTGACTTTGGAACTTTATCGTCCGTCCGACATGATCATGTATCATCAACTTTTATAAACAATTTATTGATACCTTGGCTTATATTATTGCAATTTTCGAAATGATCTCTACTTTTCTCCGCAAGTAAACCACATAGTAAGAAAGAATTACCTTAAACTCACTAGTTCTAAGGTAGGAGTTTGATCCCATATTTACCGTTCCATGAATCCGAATATTTATGTCTTGTGTTCCAAAAGAAACCACCCATTCATGTTTTCTCAGGTAAATGCTTCTTGAACAAAGGGTGTCGGTTAGCATTTCATTACATTGGGACATACTCTAATGAAAGATGACATAGTATTACATATGTTTTGTGGTGCTATGATTTTCCCGATTAGCGATAAAGATCAGATAATCCGATATTTCAATCTCTTTGCTGCAATTTGTGATGTCCATTTTTATCAGTAAAAATTTTGGGTAAATTGAACAAGTATGGATGCTACTTTGAGGGATTGATTTTATGAATTTTAAGTGAATAACGGAACGCAGCCTTGAATTTGGAATGGTTCGGAAAGCAGTGGCCATCTTGACAATACCTATTGACGTTTGAGATCACAGAATATAAACAATTGTTCACTATGCTGTGGTTTGACATTTCACGTTATTGTAGTACATGAAAATATCTGCGCTAGATTTCTTAATGTAGTGTCGGTAGATTGAATGATAATGTGTAATGTTTGCTGGTTTTAAGGAGTTTTAAACATAACGAAAATGAATCTACAATGTTCTAAAAATATTTTTAATATCGTATTATAGGAAACTATATATTTTTTCTTTAAGTAAAATGACTGATAAAGCAGATATCCCAAGAGATGCCAAATTCTCTTGTGAAGATCTTTTTCAAGCAGATTCCGATTTTAAGTACAAATCAGAAATCGATCCCGATTTGAAAGAGACATTGAAAGACATTCCAGGCGCTCTAGAGTACATCCAGAAACTGGAAAAACTGATAGTAAAGCACCTGAAGAAGATAGTTAAATTGAAAAACAAACTGAAAGTAAGTGGAATGTTGCAAAGTAGTTCAATATTATATAGTTCACACTTTTTTTCAGAAGACTGATAAACTCGTAGATGTTTTTACACAAACTGATTTCGAAGCAGACACAGAATATACAGTTTGTAATTCTGATGTAGGCACTGAGATGCCAGTTGGTGAGCCAAAAAGTTTGGCAGACGATATCAAAGACGCAGCTGAAATGGCTATGAAAAACACTGGGTTTGTCTATGAAGAAACATCTGGAATGTATTACGATTATAATACAGGATATTATTATAATGCGGTATGTAACTTTTTTGGAGAATGAAAACTTAATCTTTCTAATTGTCAAATATCTCGAAAACCTTTTCAAGACACGTTCTCAGTACAGATAAAGTCGAATTACTTTAACATGTTTCACTTTTATTTCTCTGATAAAAACTGTGTGCAAACTTCTGACATTTTGTGATTAGGCAACTCTATTAGATAAACTCATATTATAATAAAATTCAAAAGTTTTAACGAACAATTAAGATGATTGATTATATTCAATTTCAATGTAGGAATATGGACTCTATTATGACGGTTCAACAGGAACATATTTAAATTACAATCAAGATACCAAGTCTTACGAGTTCCATTCTCAAGTGAGCTTACAACCAGCAGAGCAAAAACCAACCAGAAGAAAAAAACGTAAAAACAAAAATGGCAGCAGAAATAAAGTGAGTACTGATCCGTTGCATAATAATTGATTTTAATGATGTCTCATTGTTCCAGGTAAAGTCTTCTTCTGATTTGGAGGACCTAGAGAACTCTTTCAATAATATGAGCATAAATAATCTACGATCCATTGCTCTGGGTACGTATAGATCAATAATACAGTATTGTTTGTAGGACACTAAACGACAGCGTGGGGACGATAATTCGCACTCGCCCAATAGGGATTTTGAGGAGGGAGAATGTTCTGACAGCGGAGGGATTTCTTCCAATGATGGGGCTGACTCGGATTCGAGCGGTATAAGCATTTTTAATTTTTTTTGCCAATGGGTTATTACTTACTGTTCATCTCCATTCAGTAGGAATTTTTTTCATGATTATTTACAGCTGGTGACTGTTTGCTTCATCTCACACGAAATTTTCTATTCGATACTGCAATTTCATAAATTGGTAAGGGAATTTAAGGTGTCAAGAAATGGAGGTGAGGAGTGATGAAAAGTTGATATGACAAAGTCGAAATTTTTTCTTTTCCTATTTGGTATCTATGTTTATTGGCCCAGTTCCTAACTTTGTTTTGGAATTAACATAACCCGTATTATAATACATATTTGAATTTGTTATTACAGTAGCTACAAAGATCGATACAAAAAACAAGGGGTCTGTATTAAAAAAATAAAGTTGATGATGAAATCTACTGGAAGAAACGCCACATTGTAAATTGGTTTATATCATATTATAACAACAATGAAACAGTATCTAAAGTTCCTCTGCCTTTTTTTATATAATTTCAAATGGAGGCGGTAAAGACATGAAACAAAATTCAACAATTCTAGTTTTGGTAGATATTTTAAAGATAACCTCTGATGTTCTTGATCTGAAAAGACAGTATTCTAGTTTCAGAAGATAGGAAACTCTTGTCCAATTTAACCGACCTTGAAAATCTTAACATTTCCAAGATAGCAATAGTGGGATCGGCTGAAAAATATGACCTGAATATTAATGGTTTACCTTATCCCATGACCTCATTGAATATCAAAACTATAATGTATGCAGATGATACAGCTTTGAGCAAAACATTAGATGAATTTGACGTAATCATTCAAGAACCACTCTAGATAACAGTTCACTAGTAACGTCAATTGATGCATCTATTCGACAACAAGAGGGTTTGAAAATAACAGAAAATCTCAAATGGAACAAGCACATTGATAAGATTTGTAAAAAGATATCCTCAATATCTTATTGTATTTAACGCTGGAATGTAAATAGATCACTCTTAATAATGTGCTGCCATGCATACTTTCATTGTAATGTTTCCTATGGTATTATAGCTTGGGGAGCATCTAGTGATTGTTCCAGAATACTCAAAATTCTTCATCTTCCCCCTCAAATGGCGAATGTTCCTTAATTTGGGTTATTACAGCAAATGCAAGTTTGAACAAAATAAAGTTGAGTTCTTCAAATTCACTTTGAAAAGTATTCAAATTGATGTTTCAAATGTTGGGTTTTAATTTTTAAAGAGATTTGTTTCTAATTCACATATTGGCAACAGCGCCTATGTCAAGTTGAAATAATTTATACGTACCTAGATATTCTACTTTAAAAAAGGAAAATTATCTTTATAAACCAACAATTGAGGCAAAATATAAATTGTAGTTCAATACCACCTCCACAAGCCACATAAACAACAGTTGTTTTGTTATTTATTTATATAGAGGAAGGTGCACAAAATGTCATGTCACAGAATGTCTCGGAACTCTGAACATAAGTAAACAGAACAGCACGCCTCTGAAATCTGTCATCTTTGTTTGTCTCATACAGGTAACAGATTCATTGTCCTTTATTAGCTATAACCGATATTGCCAAATGGTGAAATAGAAACGAATCCCTTTAAATGTTGAATGCGTTATTTCATTCCTCTTTTTTAAGTATTTAAATAATTTTTTGAAGAAAAAGGTTGAAATGCGTTGTTTTAGAGCTCTTTTATGAAAACTACTTGATTTTCGTCAGGAGGAACATTCCCCACTAATAGTTGAATGTGGTCAAGCTTGACGTCACATCGGTCGACTCGGCGACAAGGGAGTGCTGGCGGCGATGGCAGCGATTCATAATCTCTAACTACAGGCCCGGTTGTCACCACTCCAAGCTCGTTGCCTGGTATGACGTCAAGATGTACCGCGGGCGATCTCACATTTTCAATTGCTCTGGCTCAGTTGTTAATTGACATAAAAACCGGAAAATTTTGTGGAATACTTGGGAGATCTGTTCTGTTTAAAATCTGTGCGATCTAAGGACTAACGAGGTCTTACCTTTTAACGTGTGATTCCTAACACTAACACTACTTTTATAATATATAATTTTCAATAAAAATCTAAATTATCCAGAATCATCCCATTGTATACTGTGCCTCTAAGTGCACGGAATTTGTATTTTTAATTTTGTATTTGTACACGTTTTGACATACTCAATGTCATCTATAGATTTTTTGATTTATTCGAGCGTTACTTGAAGAAGGCCCATAGTAATTTCAAAAACTACACCTAACGATTTGATCTCCACAAACTATTTGAAAAATATATCACAACATGTTTCGCTAGCACAGTGATTTGAATCACTTCATAAAGCTCCTGTGCTAGCGAAACATGTGATATATTTTTCAAATAAAGTTTTTCGAGATCAAATCCTGAGGTGTAGTTTTTGAAATCATCTATAGGTGATCCAATTGAATAAATATTATTATTATCAATGAGCTATGTGTTTCTGCCACTCTACTATATCTCCCGTTTTTCGCCTTGCAGACATCTCCAAGCAGTGGCCCCCCTGCATGCGTGTCATCGTCGAATCGACCGACAGTTCCAAGCTGAAGGAGGGTTCCCTGCACATAATAACCTTCGAAGGGGGCACCTTGGGCCGCGAGGGCAGCCACTCCATCCTGGTGCCCGACGCTAGCGCCAGCAAGCACCACCTCAAGATCACCTTCGACAAGGACACGGGCCTGTTCTACGTCGTCGACCTGGGCTCGAGAAACGGTACGCTGCTGAACGGCAAGCGGATATCGCCTTCGAAGCAGGAAAGTGAGCCAATCGCAGTGGAGCACGGCAGCAGGCTGCAGATAGGGTCGACAGTGTTTCTGTGCCACGTCCACGAAGGAAGCCAGACGTGCGGGCATTGCGAGCCGGGGCTGATTCAAGCCAAGGGTGAGTATTGCTTAAAAATAGAGTTACAGAGTGCTTTGCCATGAGATCTCATTGTGTGGGAACCAGCAAGTTATACAAACGGTGCATTTGTTATGCAGAAAAATATATTGAGAGGCATGATGAAAGTCTTGTTTGGGAATTCTGGAGTCTTAACCCTGCCAGGCCTCTACGTATTTAAACTCATGATGAACCGATCTGGTTTTCGATGTGAACACTCATGTGAAACAGCGTTACAAGTTTCAATATCCAAATGGAAACTTGCTGTTGATGATAATAAATATATAGTGGCAGTGTTCCTAGACTTCAAAAGGACATTTGAGACAATTGACGGTCATATCCTACTAAAAAAACTCAAATACTATGGAATTTCTGATTCAGTATTTGAATGGTTTGAAAGCTACCTCTATGTTCGAACTCAACAGACTAAAATTAACGGGACATATTCAAACCTAAAAGGTGTCAATAATGGTGTACCTCAAGGTAGTGTCTTGGGCCCGCTTCTGATTGTTCTTTACATTAATGACATCAACTTCATTAATGGATGTGAATTCATCAACCTATTTGCAGATGATACTCTGATTGCAGTGAGTGAACCTGAATTACAAACAGCTATCAATAAAAATAATGATATTATGATCAGAATATCTGAATTCCTCAACATTAATGAACTCAAGCTCAATGTCAATAAAACGAAAGCAATGATAATTTGAAATAGTGACGACAATTAGCAGATCAGAAAGGCACAAGAATGAGTTGAAAAACCTGAAAATGAAATGCGGAGTGGGTGCAGAATACGGAGAAGACCCCAAATTGGCAGCCGGCTATACAGACAGGGCCCAAAAACGGAGGGAAACAGTTGGCAGTCAAAACCCACACGAAAAAACCAAGGTGGCATCGTTAGATGAGTAAGACAAGTGGAGACGTGTGTTTTACACGAATAAAACTAAATAACGTGTGATTTTCAGGTCTATAGATAAGGAAAACAAAGGGTTTAAACTCCTCGCCAAAATGGGGTGGAAAGAAGGGCAGTCTTTAGGAAAAGACGGGGAAGGTCGTTTAGAACCAGTAAGTATCACCGCTGTCTGACGTTTTTCCATACAAGATGGATACAGACGGGTCTAAAATAGACCCTTGTGGGTGACAGACTTTCAAATGACGGACTGGTTGGGCAAGGATCAGAAAAAGAATTGAAAAACATGTTTTTCCTACCAGTTTCTCTGATCCTTTGCCTAACCAATCGTCATTGGTTAGACATCACAGGACATTCATATTTTTCTTACACAGGTGAGGCCGGTTGCTAATCAAGGAACTGCTGGTATTGGTAGTAACGAAGCTCACGTGTCAGTTAAGGTCCCCAACGAGAAACAGTCTATTTGGAAGAAAGCTCAGGAAAGATTCGAAAAGTTACCAGCAACTAGTGATGCTTTCGAGGAAGATTTGGCTAACTGAAATTATTTTACTTTTGATGCATGGTTATTTTCATGTAAATATAATGATGATTGAACTGTTAACATGTATAATTGTATTGTTGAAAATAAAGGTTGTGAGGCGGTTGTTGCATTTTTATTCAGTCTTTTTACATCCCCGCATTTTTATTATCTATCTTTGTCTTTTCTTGATTGATGAATTTGCATAGAAGGTGAATGCCTTTATGCATTGATTTTAGTTTTCACATTGAAGTTGCTTAATTCACCCAAAAATGGTGAACCGTTTTTTGTTCATTAGGAGATAGTCTAATCAACAAGTTGAAAAACGTGAAAAATAGATATAAAGCTACTAAAAATATCTATTCGAAGGATTTTGCAGTTGTTATAAACAAAACAATCAAGGAAAAATGAGGTATTCAGCTTTTTGTTAATAACATTATGATTGACTGACTTTTATTTTTCATAGACGGCTGCGGAACGTGAAACCAGACAATAGCAAATACGAACTAGATTTATCCTCCTTGCAAGTGACAGACGACAGCATCGAAGCGAAATTGGTGAACACGGAAGTTGGTGCTCAATTCAAATTCTCTCTAACTGCCATCAACGGAAATATCTTCAGAGTGCAGGTGGATGAGGTGAACCCCTTGTATACGAGATACAGACCGCAGTTCGCCTTGAATGGAGAAGTACAACTGGCAAAGTAAGATTTAAAGATAAGAAGTTACGTGTACGTTAGTTATAAAATACAGTAAAAATAATAATAATACTTAATTCATGTTGGATCACTAAACCAGTTAACTGAATCACCATAGTATTTAATCTGACGATATAACTTAAAATCAACTGCGAAAGGTAATCTTTTGAATCGATGACGTAGGTAACTAGTACATTATTAAAAACACTGAAAGGTCCACAATGACTGCCTTGAGGAACACAAGAACTCACAGAGAATTATACTAATTATGGTAGAAAAAATACTTGTTATAGTTGAATAAGTGAATATCAGTGAAATGTTACTGATTCTCATTCGATGAAAGTTACAGATTTTGAAACAAACTATCATTCTTGTAGGTTGCAAATTCTCGACAGGAACAAAGACTCCGTAACGGCTCAGTATGCCGATAACAAAGCGGTGATATCTGCCAGACCGTTCAAAATCGACTTTTTCAAAAAAGACTCCTTGGTAAGTGTCGTCAATGGCAGGGGCTTGTTCACTTTCGAACACTACAGGAAAAAGCCTGCTGAAGGCGAGGCGGAACAAGCTCCTGAAGATCCCGGCGCATGGGAAGAGAACTTTAAATCGCACCACGATAGCAAGCCGAAAGGTCCTTCGGCTGTCGGTTTGGATGTTACATTCCCTGGAGCTCTGAGAGCTTACGGATTACCTGAGCATGGAGACAGGTAAGGTTTTGGGAAAAAATTTTGAAAATACCTTTATTGTTCACTATTGTTCCAATATACGAGTACAAGCAACATCAGAACCATCATTCACATGACTGTAGAAAAAGAAGTTCTACAAATTATCACTTAAGAATTCCCAACTGCAACAAAAATATGGTTCACAGATTTTTAGTTTATACTTTAGCCAAAGCATTCAACTTTCTTCCTTCCAGTATAAAATAGATAGAAACTTTCGAAATCAAAAAATTATATTTTCCATACTTTTGTGAAAATACTGAATAAATAATTATTGCAACATTTACATTCTTCACTGGCATATGCATATTATGAAGTTATCACGATGTATTAATGTTAATTCTAAGCCGTCATATAATTTGAAATCTGCCTATATAATAGAGTTGCACAATATGTGCCAATACTCTATTATTGAATCAAGGTAATCAGGTCTTCTTTGTTGGTGTGTACTATTTTGTAAAATTTTGTAAACTTTTTGTTTCTAATTTTTCTGACATATTTTCTAAAATGATAATAACATAGACTGACGATTTTGAGATTAGAAACATCTTGTTTTTTAATGGAAATTTTCCTATGAATTCTAAAAGTTGAGTTCATCAAAAATGAGAAAACGAGATATTAAAATTGCATATAGAACAAGTAATACGTTGAGAAAGTTACTTAAAAATAATAAATACAAAACAGCCAAATTCGAGAAATCAGGAGTATATAAATTAAAGTGTGGAACGTGTCCTCATTTATATATTGGTCAAACTGCCAGAACATTCAGGAATGGAATCCAGGAACATCATATGAGCTATGTAAATAAGAAAACAAGTTCAACATATTCAAATGATCTTTTGGAAGAAAATCATATCTTTAACGAAGAGTTTGACACAAGAAAATAAAGGTTTGAAACTGAATCATTTGAAAGCAATGTAAATCAATAAACTCAAAAATTTAAACATTCTAATAAATGACCAACTGGATTTGCATAGATCACCATTATTGAACTTGTTTTCTTAAAAAACTGAGGAAGTATTATTATTGATGCAGAAGTGAGGTAATATGCATGCATATGCATAATAATATGCATCAAATGATTTAAGAATTCGGGATTATTGCTCAACGATCAAATAGATTTGAATTGTTTCCCTTTATGGAATTTACTTTGCAAGGAGGAAATTAGGATAGATTTCAAAAGTAGGTGATATTCTCCAGTCTAATAAGATGTTCGTAGAAAGGTAAATAGTTTAGGTAATGAATTTATCATTTGAAAATTTGTCAGTGTCTTATTTCAAATTTCTTCCAAATAATTTCAAATTCATATCAATTTCCCAATCCACAGACCAGTTTAACCCAATTTCTCTTCTTCATTTCTCCACAGACTTCCCCTGAGAACGACTGGGCCCGGCGGAGTGGATCCCTACCGCCTCTACAACTTGGATGTATTCGAATACGAACTCGACTCCACCATGGCAATCTACGGTTCAGTGCCCGTCGTCCACGCCCACTCCCCCAAGCACACCGTGGGAGTCTTCTGGCACAACGCCGCCGAAACATGGGTGGACATCAACAACAGCAAAGACGGCAACGTCATGTCTTCGCTAGTGAACCTCGTCTCCGGCAGCAAGTCGGAGAGTAGCGTAGAGGCACATTTCATGAGCGAAAGCGGCGTCGTCGACCTCTTCGTCCTGATGGGGCCCTCCCCGAGGGACACGGTGCGTCAGTATGCTTCACTGACCGGCGTGGCTCCGTTGCCCCAGTACTTTACGCTCGCGTACCACCAGTGTCGGTGGAACTACAACGATGAAGACGATGTGACGTCCGTTGTAGAGAATTTCGACGCTCACGACATGCCGGTTGATATCATGTGGCTGGATATCGAGTACACCGACGGAAAGAAGTACTTCACTTGGGACAAGATCAAGTTCCCGCATCCCGACGTTATGATCGGGAATCTCACGTCGACAGGGAGGAAGCTGGTTGTCATAATCGACCCGCACATCAAGCGAGAGTCTGGATATTTCTTGCACGAGGACGCTTTGGCCAATGACTATTACGTGAAGACAAAGGAGGGCAATGTGTAAGTATTTTTCTAATACGCTTTTATTAGCTTCACCTGTATGTATGGTTTTTTTTGTCAGTTTGTTTGTAACTCTCCCTTCGTGGTATTAGCCAGGGGAGTAGTTGTTTTCTGATAGGTGTCAGTCCATCAACCTACTGTGTAGGGTGTTGAGACTGGCCTGAACGAATTGTTCTTTTAGATGATTTGATTTATAGCCAGTCTTCAAGTATGCCCACTGACTAGACGTGAAAGATTCGAGTTTTAGTTTATTGAATACATTTCTTAATTCATTATTCATTTGATCAGCTACTGTTTCTATATTATCTCCTGAAATTGATAACAAAGTGTCGTCTGCAAAAAGGTTCATGAAATCACAACCATGGATAGTGTCCATATCATTCAGGTAAATCAAAAATAATATAGGTCCCAAAACACTCCCCTGAGGTACCCCGAAAATTACAGCGTGAGATGATGACACTGAATCCTTAATTTTGGTTACTTGTTTGCGTTGTGATAAATAATCAGTCAGCCATAACAAAACAGTTTCCCTGATACCAATACTTTGCAGTTTATTTAGTAATATGTGGCGATCAATTCTTTTAAGATCAAAAAACCTCTTTTGAGATCTAAAAATACGGCTATATGTCCCTTATGTATTGATTCTTTCCATTTTGCATTCTCAACAACAGATGTTGATAGACCCTCCTTCAGTAGTATAAAAANTTTGGTCCCTATTGAACAGGAAATAATTCAATAAAAGGAAAAGACGTGGAGGTAATTGTTGCCGAGTGAGATATGAGGAATAAACAGCTAAATGGAAATGAAAGAAATGGAGATATATGCAAGAGAGGAAATTGACAGGCAGATGAGGAAATTCACAAGCATTCATCCAGAGGGAGAAATAAAGGAAACTTGGATAAAGAGACAGAGAAAGGAGGTTAGGATTATGGCGTAGAAAATTGAAAGATATGTGAATAAAAAAAAGAGGTTTTCAGAAAACCAGTAAATTCAGTAACGACATAGAACCAGAGAGGTTCAAAAAGGAAAGCAGGAAGAATGATAAAAGAAGTGAGGTGAATGCTACATTTATAGTACCTAATAAAAAATAAAGCTCTTCCAAACAAAAGCAGAGCAAGGAAATGGAAAAGGAGAAATGGATTCGCGAAGGAAAGATAAAGGAGAAAACAGGGGGAGTGATAATAGGAGGGGTTGCAAAATGGGAGAGCTTAGAAGAGCAAAATATTAGAAGATAAAATAGATGGTGGAGAAAAAGGAAAGAGAAATGACAGAAAAAAGAAGAGATGGCATTATAGGAGAGTGTCAAGTTAGAGAGTTGGAGGAAAGTGTATGTGGAAAAAAACAGATAGGAGAAGTGATAAAATGGAAATCCATAGAGAGATATATTGAAAGGAAAAAGTGTGAGATTGACTTGGGAGATATACATTTTTACAAAGAATTAGATGAAAATGTGGTAGAGGATAAGAGAGCTTCAAAAGTGTGCGAGAAAGTTGTAGGAAAGGTGATATTGAACAAAAGAAAATTACATAATTCTGGGTTCAGGGAAATATAATGTTGGCATGATAGTGTGAGATAAGAGGTATGCAAATATCATTCAATACCAATAACATGTTTTTCAGAGCAGAATCTTTGAGATATAGTAGAAAAAAGGGAAAGAAAAAAATTACAAGAGCATCAATAGTAAATGGAAAGAGTACTAATGGTAAAAACAGATGAAAAATTAAATGAAAGAGAGAAAATCGAGATAGAGAGAAATATGGAAGGAAAAGAAGAGTGAGATTGATTTGGGAGACATAAATGTGTATAGATATAGAGAGATGTGAAAAAGATATTTGAGATGAAAAAAAATTGGTACTAAGAAAAGGTATATGTGAGAAATATAATAAAGGATGATAGGGTGAGACTATGTAAACATAATTGCCAAAAGAAAAAGGGAAGACTTTGAGTGGTAATTTTTTCAAATCTGATATTATTTTGTACAGATACGAAGGTTGGTGTTGGCCAGGATCTAGCAGCTACTTAGATTTCTATGATCCTAGAACATTCGACTACTACAAGGGTTTATACGCTTTGGACAAATTTGTCGGTACTACCAATGACGTAAACATTTGGAACGACATGAACGAACCATCAGTGTTCAACGGACCGGAAATAACTATGCCAAAGGACTGCCTGCATTACGGAGGATGGGAACATAGGGATATCCACAACGAATACCCTCTAGCCCAAGTAAGTATACATTATTCAATAGTAATAATAATAATTCTCTAGTGAGGTAACTGATCTTTTTGTTTACTTTTCAATTACCTTTCAGAGCACTGCCACCTTCCAAGGTCTTCTCGAGAGATCCCCAAACCGCAGACCGTTCATCTTGACCAGAGGTCACTTCGCGGGCACTCAACGATCCGCAGCCATCTGGACCGGAGACAACGCAGCAGAATGGTCCCATCTCGCCGTCAGCTACCCGATGTGTCTGTCCGAAGCGCTAGGAGGTATTAGCTTCTGCGGTGCAGATGTCGGAGGGTTCTTCAACAATCCTGATGTCGAATTGCTGCAGAGGTGGTACCAGGCTGCCATTTGGTTGCCGTTCTTCAGGGCGCACGCGCACATCGATACTAGGAGGAGGGAGCCTTACCTTTTTAACGAGGACGTAAGGAACAGGATCAGAGCGGCTTTGAGACTCAGGTTGGTAATTGGAGTGAAAGAGAGACGGTATGAGGTAGTGAGAAGAGATTGGAGCTGAGTGGGGGAAGTATAAAGTATGGAGGGGGAATTTAGGCGTATGAATTTTCAAGTCGAAGTTTGAAATACTCGAAGAATGATTGAGAGAGTTTTGAAAACTATTTCACTTTGTCAAAATAGCAATTCAAAAAATAAACAGTGTCATAGTAATGAGCAATGAAAAACAAATTATAAAATGAAAAAGAAGACACTGTTGAAGGAGATGTAAGAGAGTTTTCCAAAAAGATTGGAGAAAAGTCACATATTTGTAAAGAGAGAGGTTTGGAGTTTGAGAGATACTGAAAAAGAGGCTGGGGAAAGTTTTTGGTCATTTCAAATGGGTATAACATTCAGATTGATTCTGAGAATGGAAGTAGATAATTGTTAGAAAATGAAGCTTGGAAAGTTAGGAAAGCATGAAAATGAAATGACGAAAAAAGTAGATTAGTGAATATTGAAGGGAAATGGGAAAATAGACACATAAATTGGGAAAGTGAGGAACTTAGACATGAGAGATGCTGGAAAAGAGGTTGAAAAAAGATGGAGAAATTGGAATGGAAAGTTTTTTTATGATTTTGATGTGTGATTATAATGAATTTCTTCAGATTTATTGTACGCTAGAAACAAGAGATTGAGAAAGCAAGAAATAATTCGACTGGAGAGAAATGGAAGATGAGAATTGCTGGAAATGGAGATTAGGAAGACAGGATAGAGTGAAATTGAAAAGGTGGGAAAGTAGACGAGAAAAAGAAGTTGAAACAGGATGGGGAAATTGAAATGATGGTGAATTTGTCAATTTTGAGGTGTGTGTGAGGATTTAACTGGAAAGGAATGAGAGATGAGAATTTCTGAGAGTGGGAAAGCCTGAAATTGATGTTTAGACATGATATACTGCTATATGTCGAAAAAAAGAAGGACGAGATTTTTGTTTTTTGCATGGTAACAGTAATTTCTTCCAATAAAAGATTGGAAAGACAACAAAAGGCTCTACTGGAAGAAAACGACAGTTGAGAAGGGCTGGAGAATGAGAGAAATTGAAAGAATGTGAAAGAGACCTTGAAGTGAGAATAAAAGATGAAACTATGAGAGATTGGCAAGGAGGGGGAGATTGAGGAGCCAGACGGGAGTCAAAACAAAAAATTTGAGATCGGAAAATTGTAATCAAGGGAGCGAATGCAGGATAATAGGGTGGAAAACATTTATAGGAATGAAAATGAGTAAGATAGCGGAGTATCAAAAAGAGATGGAGATGAAATGATAGGCTAGAAGATAGATATTGAGATGTTAGAGAGTTATGGTGAAAGGGTCCTTTAGTGGAAAAAAAATAAAGTAATGATCGGTATTAACCTCTTTCTCTCCATCTTTTATTCCTCTTTTTTTCATTTCCTCATCACTTTATTTGTTTTTCTTATATCTTCTGCGATTTTTCTCTCAACACTTTTTTTGTCACACATTATTTTTCTTTTGTTTATACTACTTCTGATTCTGATATGTATCTATCACCACTGCTGCATATTACTTTTATTTGGTTTTTCCTTAGTTTCATTCAAATCTTGGTTCTTTTACTCGTGTATTTTTTTCTCTTGTACATTTTTTTTGCTTTCATTTCTATATGTTTGACACTATTCCATTTCTCTAAATTATCTTCATTGTATGTCATTCTCCTCTTCAATTTCAACCTTGTCCCTTGTACATATTTGTTTTTTTATATCCTTCGGCACTTTCTCCCTCCCATTTCTCTTTTAGTCGCAGAGTTTGTCTTCTTTGTTCATTCTTTTTTTGCTTTCTGATCTCATTCTTTCCATCATATCTTTCTTATTTCTCTTTCACTGTCTTTTCGTCCAGTTCCGCCTAAACCTTTTTTCTTATCCTTTCACATTTTTTTTAGGATAATAGAAAAATGGATGGGATAGACTGAATAATAGATTTAAGAGGAAAATCAGCCTGAGTTTTGAAAGCAAGATAGACAGTAAAATCTGGAGGAAAATAGATCTTGAACAAAATAATACTGTATCAGATGTCTCTGTTTCATCTGCTTCTTTCCATTCCAGGTACGCCCACCTGCCCCTCTGGTACACCCTCTTCTGGGAACACGAGACAACAGGGGATCCCGTTATCAGACCCCTCTTCTACAGCTACCCCTCCGATGAAAACGTTGTGGATATAGACAGCGAGCTCCTGGTAGGCGACTCTGTCTTAGCCAAAGCGATATCCGAAGCCGGAGCTTCGACTGCCTCTGTATACCTGCCCGGCGGTTCCGACGAATACTGGTATGACGTGGAAGACTTCAAGCTGTACCGCGGCACCGGAAACTTCAACATTCCCGTCACGCTGGATAAGATGGTGGCATTCTACAGAGGCGGGAGCATAATTCCCAGAAAGGACAGGCCTAGGAGGGCTTCTAGTCTGATGCATGAAGATCCGTACACGCTCTACGTGGCATTGGACAGCAAGGGGAGCGCCAGCGGCAGGCTCTACGTCGACGACAGGGAAAGCTACGGATACAAGAACGGAAAGTACTTGTACCTTCACTTGAGGTTTGAGAATGGCCAGTTTAGCAGCAGTCCGATCGACAAGACTGATTATCCGACTAAGGAGTGGGTGGAGAGAGTGGTTATTTTGGGGGCGCCCAAGGGCACGGTTGGAGCTAATCTAAGCAGCAGGAGTTTGGGCACGGTTCGGCTGGAGACTTCGTACAGTGATGATGGGAGGGCGCTGGTCGTGCGCAAGCCTGGAGTTAGCATCAGGGAGGCTTTTACTATAAAGCTGAATTGAGTAGGGTTGGGCATTTGTGAAAGTAGTGATCAAACTGAGGGTTTTTGAAAGTAATTTAGGTGGGGTTGTTGTTCAGGACCAAAGATCAAATGGTACCTTCCCGAGGCTTTTGGTGCGCTGAACTCGACCTTGGAATGTTCCTTTGCATTAGAATTTTAAGATATTTGAACCAAAAAGTGCACGAAATAGTTATTTTGTGCTGTTCAAGACTTTTTTCACCTAACACCTGTTTGGACATTTGGAAGTACAACTCTTCTCCTTTAAAATTCAATTTAGATTTGTCAGATATCTTATTTTGTTCAGCAGGTATATTCGACTGAAGCTCATTAGATTATCGTCCTAAAACCTTGAAGCAAATCCTTTTTGGAATTTTTAGGTTAGTATTTCAGAAAATTCTGATATTTATTTAAATAGAGGAAGATAGGTTATGGGCACAAAATGTCATATGTCACAGAATGTCTCGGAACATAAGTAAACAGAACAGCACGTTTCTGAAATATGTCATCTTTGTTTGTCTCATACAGGTAACAGATTCATTGTCCTTTATTAGCTATAACCGATGTTGCCAAATGGTGAAATAGAAACGAATCACTTTAAATGTTGAATGCATTATTTCATTCCTCTTTTTTAAGTATTTGAATAATTTTTTAAAGAAAAAGGTTGAAATGATGAAATTAAAATGCGTTGTTTTAGAGCTCTTTTATGAAAACTACTTGATTTTCGTCAGGAGGAACATTCCCCATTTTAAACCTCATCCAATTGCTCAAGACTCCATAATTGTCAACCCAAATTCTATAAAACCTTGGATAAATCCTTTTTTTTTTGCATTTTAAGGTTATAATTTCTGGATATCGTAGGGTAACGTTAACCTATTGATCCATTCCTTATAATTTAGAACCTTGAAGCTTTGCTCTAGGATTCAGATCTCGGACGTGATAACGTCAGACTTTTTAATCCATACCCAATTGCTGAGAAACTCGGATCATTCAATGAATACCCTAGTGCTCTAGACTCTGTGAAACGGAAGATCAAATGAATTCAGCACACCAAAAGCATTAGAGAAAGTATACGTTGACTTACCCTTACCAAAAAGCATCCCTTAGTGACATTTCATGAAAATCGGATACTTCAGTTTAATATACGTAAGGTATGGCACTCCCTTATAGTTTTTTTACGGTTAGGTGATAATACAGTCCAGTGATTTTTTCGTTGTTTAGGTCTTCTTTTGTTTTGATTCATAAATTTTCATTTCAGAATGATTTTGGATACATCGCTTGTAAAATATTTTTGGTTTCACTTGTTGAGAAATAAATTGTTCATGAACTTTTGATGTGCTGTTTTATTTCTTGCAAATACTGCGAGTTGAAAATATTACTAAAAAATGATAATTATATTTCTACATTGCCGACGGGGACAAGTGTTGCATTATTAGTCTCCTAGAGGGCGCCACAAACTTTTTCAATTAGAAAAAAGAGGTCTTGTGATACCTCAGTTGATAGGCATTTCAATTCTTTATCCAACAGGTTTTTATTTTTGGAAATCGGATGAGCCTTTCTTAAGTGATTAGCAGTTTTCCATTCGTTTTGACGATCTGCAATTTCACAAACTACACTTAAACGATTTGATCTCCACTAACTTTATTGAAAATAATCATAACATGTTTCGCTAAAACATTAGCTTTTTCAAATGTGCGGAGGAGAAAATAACCCTTTGAACCACAAATTTCTCAATTTCAAAATAAAGTGTTTTCAAAACTCACTCAGTTCATTTCAATAAATGTTCTACCATTTACTCCCCGGCAATAAGGAAGTCTGTGTCCTATATGTTATATATTTGGGGTAATATCGTTACAAGCACCTCTCTTAAAGACAAACTTCAGTTGTGAATTATACACTTCCAAAGTCACATATCCCCTCAAAAAAATCTAGAGGCATTATTTCAGGCGATTTAGTGGGCTCTTCTAAGGAACTGAGTTTGCCAGTCTGGCACTGAAAACTAAATGTGTTTCTTTTTGTGGCAAAAGAGGTACACTTTGACGTCAAAGTTTAAAAAATATCACTTCCTATTAAGATTTTCGATACAAATGAAGTAAAATATGGCATTTAAGAAAAGTAATACAGAGTACGTAGATTAGTGATTTTCTCTTCATTGAAATGATAAAAATAAAGAAATGTATTCATTTATAGATCAATTACATGCTATCGAACATGTCAATTTATACTTATATACAATAATTATCCAAAGTGGATATAATCAAAAAGGTGAGTATACAATTTGAACTGTGTATGCAGATTTAAAAGAATAATACCTCATGATCTACTGAATGGCGCTGTTCACAATAATTATCCCACAATCACATTTTGATTAGGGCTCAACAAAGAAACAAATGAATTTATTCACATTTTTATTTGAAAATTTCAGTGATACAAGGTCTGATCAGTAATTTTCATCCTTAAAAGGTAACACCAAGTGGAAATTTGGTTAATTCTGGAAATAGTGAAGGACGAGTATCAAACAGTGCTGTTTTGGAGCAAATCTGTTGTGGAATCAACTCCTCACCCTACTAAAAACTGATAGAAGGTTCAACTTCCACGAAATCACTCATCTCTTGACGTTCTACCAAAAAGGACAATCACTTCTGATCTGGTGAATTCCTTCCTTCTGTGACTGTTAAAGCTGACATCTCAGTCCTCTCTGCTAGGTTGATTAAGAAGGGCTTTTCTCCGATACTCACTAATACAACCTACAACTAGAGGAGCAAATAAGTAAATCACCGCTCCTTCAGTGATATTGTAGTCAGCTAGAGTACGATCATTTCTCAGGTGTTCGTTGGAGAATTCCAAATTCTGTGAGTTGGGAGAAAGACCTTCAGTTTTCACCTCGATTTTTGCTTTGACCTCTCTAATAGTCTCGAATGGCTCCACATCCAAGGGGATATATGAATTAAATATTGTGCGCAAAAAGATCTGCATTCTGTAAAAAATTCAATTGCATTATAAATAAATCAAACGTTAAACAACCATCCCACAAGTAAAAACTTGTAGTGGGACACTCAATTATCTATAGATACAGGGCATAATCGCGAGAGAAAGAACTTTTCAAAAAATGGAAAAACACAAGTTTTGACCTAAAAGCCATTGCAAAAACTTCAACGCTGTGTCATCTCATCCAACAATATGATATCCAAAAAATTCAAAAATTGAATGAATTTTATTTAAAACTTGCCATTAACGCTAGTAGATAAATGACACAATACATTGATGGATTAAGTTCATCTAAGAACTTGTCTATGAGTAACCCTCCCGATGCTGTCGAATGTATTTTTATGTTTTATTCTACTAACAAAAATGCTTGAAAAGTGAAACAGGAGTAAATGCATGGTAAAAATGTATAAAATATAAACAAAAAATGTCATGAGACAATAAATACAAATACTAACCACTAATTTAAGTAACTAAAAGCTTGTACTTAAGATGTTACTAATTCCGTTTATACTGTATGTCATGTATTCTGCTTGTATATTTCATTTTCATATATGAACAAAGTGCTCAGCGTTATCTATAAAATTAAATTTATATTATGAGTACATTAAGCACTTCTATAGATAAAGCAAGAATGAAACAAAACCTAATAGAGAGTGAAGATTAATTCAAACTCTCAGTCTTAGGTCATAAAAAATGATTGATTTTCAATTGAAACATTCATGAAGGAGAATACATATTAATCTCATATATACTTGTCTTCGAGAGAATTTTCAAGACGTGAAACTTGTTGCATATGATTTAAAACTGGTGCATGAATCCATCCTGAGAGAAGCTGAAATTTTCGTTTTTTTTTTTTTTAGTTGTCAAAACCTTTTTTTGGTTAGTTTGGAACAAACTACTACATGTCCTTTTATTATTCCTAGACTGAGGGTTATACTATTTTACATTATCACAGACATTATCTTAAAAATCCATTTCTCCCATAGATTTATATAACTGTTTCAACAGTTAGAAGGTCTAGGATTTCCCCTTTTCAACTAAAAAAAAAATTGTAAATGTAATTCATTTTAGTGGATTTACTGAAAGGATTCCTTCTTCATATTATACAAAACAAAAATGTTTTTATATATTACTCACCCCTCACCTATATATTTTCACAAAGAAAATGTCTTCTAAATACCACCCACAGAATAAAGCTTAAAACAGTTTTATCACGCCTTGTTCTGTACACTTTCTTTTGTGCTTTTGCCTTTGAGAAAATATTAAACTGATGAGAGTGTTAGCTGTGTACAGGCCGTGTTCCACAGACCATATACCCCAATACCCCTGTGTTCTGAGATGAAAAATACGAAATAAATAAAGGAAGCGTTGCCAGAGCTAGGAATGTATTGTCAGATTTATCGATTTTCATAAACATTTGGCTACTGGTACCGCCACCTGCAGCCTCTTGGACTGGAAGTGACTGCTATACTGGCTATTTATTTTTGCGGAAAAACCTAAATGTCGTCTTTTTACGAATTTCGAAATATCCATTTTGTTAATTCAACGAGTTATGTTCTGCAAACTTACTACCAGTTTAATATTCTATTCCTATTCATCTTTGACTCAAAACGATATGATTTAACACGTTCCTTTGATATCTTCAGCTATCTCGATCAACTTCACTTTGCGGTCATCCAAAATTATTTTGTGGACTTCGGTGTTTTCGTGGGTTTCAGCCTCTTTGGGCGTCCATTGCGTGCAGCGTCCTCGGTGGTCATTTCACCAAGTCAAACTTAGAAAACCACGGTTGATTTTCCTAGTACAACTTCCGAATAATGTTCAAAAAGCCAAGTCCTGGCTTCAACAGTATTTTTTTTTGCCATAACACATGAAATTTCTTCCATTAATTTTCTTCAAACTAACAAAAATTTCTATCACACACACTGACAGTCCGATAGCTGTGAAATTTTTACGCGTGTCTTTTAAATGTTAGGGTTCACAATTAATCATATGGATTTATTACTAGTAGCGTCATCTGTGTGTTAGCATACGAACTTTTCAACCCACCAAATATGTACTTATAAGAGCTTACGATACTGAAACAGACCAACAACTTAGCATTAAACATCCCAAAACCCTAAAGGTGTGTCATTATCCATGGATTAGGCAGACTGAGACACCGGCGCCAAGTCACAAAACTCTAAACACGTGTCATTACTCGAACAACGAAAAAATCAAGGCACAAGGTTCAACCTGGACTCCAGAAACTCATACGTTCTGAAAGAAACCCTTCTCTTTCTCTTGCTCTCTCATTATATACATCGAAATGTTCGAATTTCCTTATTACAAACAGTCAAGAATTTTTGGGAAAGTTAAGATAAAGTTGAAGTTGATGATGCACTAATTGAAACTATCTTTACATTCTTAAAAGTGTTGTTCCTGTCAACTACGAATCCCGCAAGTACCATGCATAAGAAAATCGAAAACAATAATTGGAAAACTCACCGTTGGGATAAAAACTAGGAGGATTGTGGTAGTTCGGCTGCAGTGGGGGGTTATTCGCTTCAGGCAGAGACCTCTGCCTCATGGAGCTGTAACGCTTTGAACCCTTCTGCTCGGTTTGGAGCCTCGGAGGGACACTTCCTTGGCGCTGATTGTTGGCGTTGGGGGGCGCAGCCGTTTGACGCTGGTTGACGTTGGGAGGGGCGCTGCCTTGGCGCTGGTTACCGCCGGGGGAGGAACTGCCTTGACGTTGATTGCTGTTGACGGTAGACTGTCTCTGATTGAAGCTACTGGGAGGAGCGCTACCGTGACGGAAGTAGTCGTTTTGCTGCTAATCAGGACAACAGTTATTTATTGATTTACGAGGATTCAACTTTTCAATTACTGTAGAGCAATGATTGAACTAAAACTGAGAAATATGTATACACCATTCCGGTACAGAGAATTAGAATTAAATCAAATTGAAATAAAAATAGAAAATGACAAAATGGAGCTCATTACTGAATTCAAATATCTAGGATTCATGTTGGACACGCATCTATCAATGAATAAACATTTCACTTACAGAAAAAAATGTATGAGAGTGTCCCAACACTAAATTATGCAATCACTGATAACTGTATACAGGGTGTAACTAAATAAGTGTAAAACATTTAAGGAGGTGATTCCTCATGGAAAAAAAGATAGGATCTTTCATATAAAGAAATTTCATTGGAGCATCCCTTGTTAAGATACAGCCCTTTAAAGGGGGTACATAAAATTTGTATAACAATTTTTTTCACAAGCACTAAAAAAGTTACAATATTGAAATTAACCTGACATTTTGTACTACCAAAAAGACACTTAGCCAGAAATTTATTTGGTTTACC